ACTCCTCTCTTAGAACTGGGAAGCAGTGTAAAATTTAGTCTGCGAGGGAATCAACACCCACAAGGCCACTGAAATATGTGTGTATGCTTGGCTTACAGGAAGCTCTTTGATTTACCCAGTCCCTTTTCTTTATTCAGCTTTTGACAGGTAGCACTGAAGCCTAAGTCTCCCAGGGCCTCAGCGCTGCTGTCCCTCCACGCCCTGCTTTCCACTGAGGCCCACAGCAGGGCCGCTGGTGGTGAGAACCTCAGGACTTGGCCTTCGCTGCCAACACATGCACAGCAGCCAGCTTTGAGCTTCAGTTGTCCCAGAGTACCTTCTTGGTCCTCCGCTTAATGAAGAGGCAGATCATCTTCTGTTTTTCACTCCCCACCTTGCACCCTGTACCTCAAAACTTATATTATGATGTATTTTCTTCTTGTTTGCTTTCATCTTCCACCTCTTTGCTACCTAGAAAAACAAATTCATCAATAACTGCGAATAAGGGCTACTATTAAGATGAGGCTGCAGACCAAAACCAGATTTATAGAATGGGGCATACATTAAGTACTGAATCTTTATGTCCAGCACCTGGGACAAGTGGTGGGGAGAGGTGAACTCCAAACGTCTCGGGTGGGCCCTGCCGCGGCTTTGCTGGCTATAGCCCGGCAGCCACTTCCTCAGGCTGGCCGCGCCCCGCCTCTGGGCTGCCTCTCCAGCTTTCCGCTGGGCTCTCCGCTGCCCTTGGCTTCACGCTCACAGCTCCCTCCTCGCCCCGCAGGGACACACCTGGCCTCCCGGGCCTTCTGAAATTTAACCTTATATTCTGCATGCCTCTACAACCAGCATCATGGGGATGATGCCCGCATCCGCTACAAGAGTAACTGTCTAGAAAACGTTGTCTTTCTTTTTGTTCTTTCTTTTTTATGTATTTGGTAGAGGTTCTCACTATGCAGCTCTTACACATAGTGATCCTCCTGTTTTCTGCCTCCCCAGAGCTGGGATTACAGGTGTGGACCACCACACCTGGTCTCAGTGGCTGATTCTTCATGCCCCACGGTGGGGCTGGTGTGGCATGCAGCATGAGGGATCAAAGTCAGGTCCCCACACTTGCATACGCAGGTGTTTAGTCCACTGAGCTATCTTGCTGGCCCTTGGTTCTCTCTTTCAAATGAAAACTTTAGTTTTCTACAATGGAGCCCGAAACTGTGGTGTCTTATGGATCCCTGAGATGCCCTTATGTCCTCTTCCCTACTATCAGGAAGTAAAATACTTGGCTTCTTTTTAATTCTAACAATTTCTGCACAACTATGCTGTCCAAAACCTCAACATTGAGGGTGTTTTCTTTCTAGTGAAAATACAAACTTTTCAGACCTTCTTTTCATGGTTGATCTGGCTAAAAGCAGCCAATAGAATTCATGCCACAGTCAGAATGTTGGGCTGCTTTGGAATTTCCTGCCCAGATTCATCTGCTTTCTTAAAGTGAGTATCCAGCAAAGTCTCAGGACATGGGGAAAATGAACTCCAATTCTTATTCAGGATGTAGCACCCATGCCCTCTATTCCAGCTCACAATGAAGTTCTGTTTCCAACTGAAACCTCTCGAACCTGGTCTTCACTGTCCACATACCTACCCCTGTTCTGGTCTTCTGAGCATTGACTAGAATAATACATGACTATCTGCTTCCTTTGCCTATAGCATTCCAATGATCCGAGCTATCACCTTGAACCCCTCGAAGTCTGTCTTGCAAACCATTCCCAGACGCTTCCCAACCACATTGTCATATATAGTCACAAACAGCCCTACTTTCAGTACCATATTTCTTTATCCATCACTTTCCTGGTTCTCTAGTAAAATATTTTACACCTGCAACATAAAGAGGGAGAAGTCTGTTGGGATTGTTGTTTCAGAAAATTCAGTCCATATTCATTGCCTCTGAGGCAGAAAGGGAAGGTGGAGGGGCCTGTACAAGGAGTACGAGTCACCATGGATCAACCAGGAAACAGAGACAGAGATGAGGAGAGAGGTAGAAAAATTATTTCATTCCGGGTCACTCACATCTCCAGTAACCCAATTCCAGTGAGGTCCCAGGAGCTACCCAGTTATGGTTCCCCAAGTTCTACTTGCCTTTCAGGAAGATGGGACATCTGGGGCGACATTTTACATTAGACAAGAATAAGGGAGTCCATCTCCAATTCTACCCATCCTGGTTGTGAAGTGGTGAGTGGGTGGGAAGAGTCAGCATGAAGAAAATATGGCACTGCTGGGATTCAGGTAAAGGTTAAGGTTTTGCATCAAAAACATAGCTCTAGGAGCAGAGGGAGGCAGGTGGCTCCAGAGGGATCAGGTCCACAAAGCGGGGCTGGGGAGCATAGCTGTGTGTGGGGAGAAAGAGGGGAAGCTGCAGTTGTGTCTGGGGATTTCAGTTTTATAAAAGATGCATACATCATGTAACACTCTACAGGTAGTAGTTAAGATCATTAGAGGATGTAGAGAACAAACAGCTACCTTGGTTCACTCTGTGTGTGTGTGTGTGTGTGTGTGTGTGTGTGTGTGTGTGTGTGTACACTTTGGTGGAAATCTTAACATTTCCTTTAATCTGCATATTCCGCTCAATGATGAAAAAGGATCTAACTTCTAAGTTTTCTTCTATGTAAAGAATAGAACATGGCCAGGTGAAGACTGAGACTTAGTGCACTGTGCAATTTTGCTGCACCATATCTCACTATCATTGTTTTCTCGGCAACCGGAAGTGACATGATCCCTCATGGGAGGAATTCTTTCCAGGCCCTGCATGCCTCCCACCTCAAAGAGCACAACTCAGCCAGAGAAAGCTCCCCAGCCACCTTCTCTGTTTATAAATCTGTTAAGTAAGTCACATGCAAGGGAATGTGCAATAGATCTAACATTCTCCATCTCAGCTAAGGAAAAATGACTCTAACAAGATATATGAAGAGTTATTCCAATGCAGGACAGGGAGTGACTACAAAATAAGGAAGGAAAGCACTTTACTACATAAATCCTCCCCTGTTTAGTCTATACAATCCTGGGAGAGAAATAATGAACCTTCTTGGAGGATGTGCTATGTGTGTATTTGATTTATCTTGTGGTTAAATGGAGATTTACTCCCCCAAAATTGAGACAGACAAAAGAATGAAATTTGGGTTTGGCCTCTTGGTCTACTTGAGTACCCTTACCAGATTTGAAAGTACAGTGGAGTTTCATCATAGAAGGAGAGGACACTAGCTTTGTCCCTTAGGAATGTTTTGCCTTGGGGTTTGGAGGCACACGGTGAATTTTGTATGCGTATTTACTGATATAAACTCTGGGAGGTTTAGAGGAGTCAGATGCCTGCTCCCCATGACACATTGCTAGCCCTCTGCATACCTGGTTATTTCTTTACTTCTCATCTATTATATTTCTTATTCGTTTTTTAAGTTATAACTTCACTTCTCTTCAACACCTACATTCCTTGCCTGTGACAGCACTTTTGTAATCTCTATCTGATGCCCCTTGGTAAGAACATGTCTGATCTAATTATTGGCAAGGCCAAGATTGGTAGCATAAGGTGCTAGAAATGAATGGGTCTCACACAAGAGAACCCCAGGCGCTGAAAACAAATGACAAACAGGCCCTGGCTTCTGTGTTTTCCCATTGACTGTTTCTTCTTTAAGTACACATGGTAGACCTCAAAGGCTTGCATTTGTTACCGACTTACCACATGTAAGGGGCTCCTTGAATTTGTGGACTCGAAGTGAAATGGCTGTTATTTAAGGTCAGGCTATACCTCAGCTTCCTCTAGGCTCTAGCATGAATCAAATACCTGTTTATTTAACTTTCTTCATGGATTGCTGTTACTTAACTTTTTTCACAGTATGTGGTGCTGGGGATCCACCTGTGGTCCCTGTGCTTGCCTAAGCGTGCCCAAGCAGGCGCTTTGGTTGGTTTAGCTATCTCACTGGCCTTTGCTGTTCTTTACTACACATACTTTCTTATGAGAGAGGTCACTGTGCAGATTTTCAGTGAGAGCAAAACACTTAAAGACTTTGAATCAGTCCTGCTCCCTGGAAATTTTGAAGGAGCCTATCAACTCTTTCTGAAACCTTCAAGGTGAACTTTTAGTGAAAAGTTAAGTTACAGACCCATTCTGCATTCTAGGTAGAAATCTCATGTGTTACACTTTCAATTTGATAAACTTGAGGACCTGTGTATCTCTTCATCTCTCTCTCTTCTCTC